TAATTAAGTTAGTCTCACTATGGACCCTATCGGGCACAACAATAATATAAAGTTTATTATAGCATTAGTTTTTATTATTGTAATTTATATAAAATTTATAATTGTCCCAGACACATGCAAAGGCTATCTAGAAATGTTTAAAACATTATATCATATTGATAATTATATATATATAAGAAAAAGTAATAATATTAAATTACACTTAATATTATTTCTTTTCCTTTTGAGAAGACATTTTTGTCTGTTCGCAAATTTCGTTGTCATTCACTGACGTCTCACACGCACGCTGCGCAACAACCGACTGAGCGCTCTAACACCCTAACAGCGATCACATTACTCGATAAATCGGCCCTAACTCTCATCGGGCGATCGGGCGCCCACGTTCACCCGATATCGGGACCCTAACTCTCTAACTACAGTGTACCCGATGGATCGGGCCCGATAGATTGGGTAGTGTAATAGGCGCCTTAGTTTTTGATTCTCATCAGTGACTGACCGCCCAAATACCAATACAAATACTTCACGATACTATTTGTTACTCGGTTCTAAAGTTGGCATCGAAAGAAAACTATCGAGTTAGTACTTGTATGTACTCGTATCGGTATCCCTATTTTGAACTAAATTAAAAAGCATTCGCGGTATTTTGTAATTTGTTTTCCGTATGAGGTGTGTTTTTTGATTCTGAATTAACGTTATTATTTCGAGGCTGACAACAAATTTATTCGTATCTGTATAAAATTGGTGTTTTATTTACACACATGTTTTGAGGCAACTTACTTCATTAAAACTAATATGACGACGCTTGCTCAAAGAAAACTTTCTCTAGAACAGTTGAACATTTTATTGAATTTCGTAGAAAATAACAGACATTTAGCATTCGGCCGCACATCGCAAGATAGTGATAGTCAATACGAGCAATACTTCAAATGGAAAGAATTGGCAAGGGATATAAATGCTCTTGACATGGAACATCCTATGGCAGGCATTGAATATAAAGAAGTATGTATTTTATCGTCTATCATAACTAATTAATATATGCCGATGATTTTTTCCCCGTTGTATTATTTGTTTTTTAAACAGTTTGTTATTTTAGTATTGGAAGGACCTGAAAACTAAAGTTTATGGTAAGATATATCGAGCCAGACTTCGGGCTAAAACAACAAAGCAACCTGTAAAACTGAGTCTTCAGGAATATGAGTGGAGAGTTTACAACATCATGGCAGGGCATCCTATTGATCGGTTATTAATTTTGGAAATTGGTGAAAGTAAAATTGAAAATAATAGTGAGTATTAATTTGAAATTTTTCAACTTTGCATCCTTTGTAAGCTTTTTAGTTTAGTATACATATGAAAACATTTTATTTAAGGATTACTTACCAGTTAACAATAAATCAAACTAACTATTTCATAGTCCACAACTTCACTCAAGCTACTATATCCCTTAGCGATTATTTTGCATAATGATGAATGGTTGTTTATATTAACTGTTGTATGGCTAATCAATTAAATATTTGGGATATAGGTAAAAAAAAACAAAAACATTAAAGTATTGTTTTGTTATACTTAGATTAACCTTACAACCATTTGATATTTGTGCCATTTCATAAAATAATATTACCTATAATAATTATAATTTGCTGTTCCAGCTTTAATTTGCATGAATTTACATTGACACATGAAGCCATAATATATTCATCCTAGATTTAAAATTTGGAAAATTTCAAATCGTTTTGTAATTTTGTTAAAATCTTATCTGTGAATAGCATTTGTGCCTCAAAGGCAGTTTCAGTGCCAGAGGTGTATTAGCATTTTGAAAAGAGATCAAATTTAGTTTATTGAGAAATAGAATTGGTCTTAAGGCGCTATGTTAATTTGTAAAAATAGTATGTATATCAAAAATTGCTTTGCTTTTGCATATATGGTTATGTCAAATTGCACATAAAATCTTAAAATTCATTGCTTTCATTCACTATACATATTTAAGATGTTATTTGCTTTTATTCTAGATTCTGATAGCATTGTCTCAGAAAAAGAAACCGATAAACAGAAGAAAGAAATCATACAGAACTTGGATAATATTTCGAGTGCAATGTACCAACTTGCAAAGAATCAAGCTGGCTTAGCACAATCACAAATAAGTATAATCAAGAGTTTGAAGGAGCTAACACAATTAATAAAAGATGTATAATTGCTTTGTGTTTAAATGTTGTCAAACTGACTTCATAGTTTTGAGTTTTGTTTTATAAAGAACTTTGTATGTTTTATTATGTTCTTTGAATGTCAAATAATTTTACTGATAGTTGCTGATTTATATTTTTTGATTAAATAGTTATTTAATTCTATGTTTTAGTGAGTAAATACTTTTCATAACAACTAATGATAGTTGAAGTTCCTATTCCACTATGTGATATTTAGAAGTAAAAACAATTTGTTTTTGTTGATTTTATAACTGTTTGTATAAAGATTATTAGAAAATACCTACATCTAATTTCGAGTGAGCAATGAAAAGTGTTTTGTTGCACATGGAATGTTTGTTGCACTTTTTTTCGTCCATATTATAAGAATAGACATAAGAATACAATTATGTGATTTGTTATTTACAGTAAAAGAGGAAAATGAAGATGTTTTTAATTTTTCCCACTAACAAAAATATTACTGTAGAAATATGGTTTATGAATATATGACCTATGGCCGAGTGATTTTTGTGTCAGGCTAACAGCACCACCATCTTCGATTTTGAAATGAATTTTAATCCATCTAGTCTATCAATTCTGAAAAACTTTCCTAGTCATCTTTTAGTCCCTTATTTATCAGTCTTGGACATAGCAGTGATAAGTAGCTAAATAAATACTTTTAAAGATAATAAGGAAAAATATCTTCCACAGTATATCTTCTTGACTATAGCACTTGTAGAGTTCATTCTTTTAATATATCAAGTCATTTTAGCAAGAGTTCATAAAATCCATTCACCACTAGGTATCATGAAGTGGTGTAAATTAAAGAAATCTCGACAACCACAGTGTTTATCATTGACTATTCCAATCTTATTCTTATTGTGACCATATCCTGTTATAACTTGGCTTTTTGTTTCTGTCACAGTGTGCTTACGTCATTTCTTTTTTTAATTTTAATCTGTAGCTACACAAAAGTGTGACAGCTTGGCAGCATTCTCCATAATCTAGTCCCTTAATAATCAGTCCATTACGTAATAGGGCGATTTGTTCCTATTCATTTAGTTTACGAGATCACTCCGTTGATTTATAATTCATTTCAAAAAAGTTTCTGAATCAGCGTTTTTTCTTTTTATCACATAATAGTCTTAATTGTTACGTAGTCGTAACTATAACGTACGCTTTATAGGTGCTTCAAATGAATCTGTTGATATTGTTTTAAAATTAATCGTTTTTAATTATTTACACATTTAATCAATGCTTTTGGTTGTTTTTGTTTACTGAATTATTAAAGTTAAACGAAATTTGCAAAATGTCGAATTGATACAAACTATGCTATTTCGAAATGAAAAACAAACCAAAATGTTTGATAAAATATAAAAATTATAAAAACAATTAATTTTAAAAGAATATAAACATATGTACATGGGAAATATCGATAAAGCGTAGGTTATAACTATGATTACGGCTGCGTCCATGACACAGTGTAAATATAAGTATACAGTGGTGAAACTGCCTACAAGCGTTCGAAATCGCACGCACACATAAACACGCTCACCGACGAGCCGCCTAAGTGGACCTAACAGGACGCTCAGTAACGCGTATCGCATCGAGATGACGGGTCACGTTACACGTTCCGCGATCGTTTTTATTTAAAAAAATGAAGGAAAGATTAAGGAAAGGAGTAGGCTTATGTGAAATAAAAAATTAGTTTTTTTTTTTAGATTTAGATGTTTTTTTTAAATACCCGTTTCAGTATCATGCATATTTTCAGGTTGAAACGTAGTACGGTCCCACCCGAAAATGTTTGATAAACACCCAAAAACAGCCGCTCATGAGCGCGCCACCTTAATGCGGTGCCTACCTACCACGCGTCCGATTCGAAGAGAGCACGAAACGTTGGACGTTTCGTGCGCTCTTCGGCTATGTGTCTGTCAAAACTTGTACAAGGTTATGCCGTAATGTCATGTTAAAGATCAACATAAAAACAAAGATTTACATGTTGTGTCAATATTAAACTATTTCTCGTATGTTAAACTATCGTCTTTTGCTAAGATTAACCGATTTTTAACCGACTTCAAAAAATGAAGGTTGATAACCTTCATTTGACCTGTGCGTATGATATATTTCCATAACTGCCCAGTTTTCGCATATGTTATTCTTTATCATGTGGTGATATAGAATAATATAAGTAGATATCACCGTCTGAACAAATGTGTATGTATATTTTTTTGTTTGTTAATTAGTTATTACAATTCGATTGATTAATAATGCGAAAACTCCTTTTATATTTTGTAAAAGAAACAATGTCTAAAACATTCAAAATGACAACCCTATGGTTTCAATGGAGCGTAGGTATTTATTTTATCAAATAGGCTTAGTTTCTATACTGTGTCATACTTATACTGTGTCCATGAGTTAGGTGGTCGCGCTCTTTATGTTAAAATCATAGCAAACCTGCTGTGCTCATTGTATTTAATAAAAATTTTTAGAAACATTTGAAACTATTTTGTAATTTGTTTTCCGTTGGAGGAGGTGTTTGTTTTTTGTTTCCGATATTGATGCCAGGCTGACAAAAATTTATTCGTATCTCAACACATGTGTTTTGCTCAAATTTGTTCAGGCAACTTACTTCATTTAAACTAATATGGCGACACTGGCTCAAAGAAAAAGAAGAAGTTTTATTAAATGATTTGTTTTTAATCTCAGCTCCTTCGAGTCTGATACGTTTTTGAAACATTTCCAACTTTTTCGATAGTATTTTCCCAGAAGGATGGCAACCTCCACAGTTGAGCAGCTGGTTAAAGGTAGAATTCATTTACTTCGTAGATCCAGGCTGCACCAGGTGATGCGTACGTTCGCTTTCTCGCCGTTCCTGCTGTCTGGTGTTAATGAAGAGAAGCAGCTACTACAGGTGGAGCTGTTCAGCGACTTTGAAGATGATCAGGTAACTGCTCAACACAACAACTGTAGTAAATCTTTTATAGTGTATAGTTTTTAATTTTGTCTATTACTCATCAATCTAGAGCAGTCCGGTCATATCTATTAGGAATGTTGCAGATATGGATAGGAACGCGGATTGTACAATGTGTTTTCAAAAAGTTATATCTCATCCGTACCTATTTGTAACATTTATCTTCACGCCGGATCTCTTGTGGGGTAGGCAGAATCCGTAACGCCGTCTGTCGCGGCCATGGTCCTATTGGCCCTAGAGTAAACAAACATACTGGTCTTTCAATTTTTTTTTACACGACTGTCAAAAAAAGGGAGTGTATTGTGTTTAGACGTTACATCACCTTACGTTATTCCGAGTGACATTGATATTATAATTATAGCAATATGGGTATCAAATTAAAGGTCTTGTCTTGATGAGGACATTCCAAAAATATATAACATACTTATATCCATAATCAACTGCTTATTAAAGGCTTAAAATAATAAAAGAAATTCCCCCGACTGCAATGACAATTTTGTTTATCCAAACGATTTATAATACAACTTCTTTTACTATTTTCCTTGGATTTTGACGGTCGCCTTTTTTAAATTTTAATAAAATAATAAAAATTAGCGCGGCTGCTAACTTTTTTTTTTTTTCTGTAGAGTCTGCCTGTAACCGACGCATACGTGGAGGTACAATCGCGGCACGCACAAGTGTATTCGTGCGAACTTCATATACAAGCGCACTTCGCCGGCCTGCGCTACTTCATGTTCAATTGGCCAAAGTTATCCGCTCTCATTGGTGAGTGTTACTGATCTGGAAATGGGCTCATATTACGCTAACAGGGTCCCGATTCCCTTCCTGTTCAGGATGCTAATTCCTGATATGTCCAGTTCCCAAAATGTCCAATCTAGTATTATAATATACCACTACATTTATTAATCAGGATATTTAAAAAACTCAGGACATTTCTGGGTCCTGATATTTTGGGAATTGAAAATTCTTAACTGAAAGTCTCGATTCAGATAATGTTGATGCCACTCTAATTATAGGTATACATGAGCCTCAATACTGTAAGTATTATGGCGTAAAAATCGGCATTGATTTATCGAGACGCCAGCATACTGGTAATATGGGTTATGTTTGTTATTTTGTGATCTAAGTAGCAAGAACTGTGCCGAAAAGAGATGTACACCCGTATCTATAGTCGGGTAAAAATAAATTACTTAAGCAGATATCTTTAACAAACTGTTAAAGCAACAAATTGAATTGTTAAAAGTAAGAATACGATTATTATAGATATTAGCTATTAACAGTTATTTCACTCAATTTCTTGTCTATTGGTTAAAAATATCTGATTAACCTATGCCATTATCTCGACTTATGAGGAAGTATTAAAAAAACGAAAGCATTAAAAAAGCACCTCCGCTAGATGGCGGCTCTAGCAAAAGTTGATTTTTGCAGGAAATGAATGGGCCAAAGACAGTCAATTCCGTTCCTTTTAACTAAAATATTAAAAAACTGAAATCTGAAAAGTTCGAAACTTAGATATCAATATAAATATTAAAAAGTACAAATAGACTATGAGTTTTTTATTGAGTTTTGAAAACTAGTTAACTTTAAAACTTGAAAGAAAACCGGAAAGGTTGTCATGGAGAAATCAAGAACGTACCGTAGCGACATCTAGTTGTATTTCTGGAACTAATATATATTTTTTTATATACTTCTCTCGGCTACGAGTGTTACACCGGCTCCACACCATAGCCAATTAAGGGTGAACACAGGCCATCACCATAGATGATGTGTAGACTGAATGACGCCTATATCGACCCATGATCGGCTCTAATCATTCATATTTCACCACTGTCGCTTTTTCGGACAATCGTCGAAGGAAGTTTAGCCACTATCGTGCGCGCGTCCGCAATCGCCGATCACTCAGTTCGTATTTATTTATGATACTGTGAAGACGCGTGCCCGTTTTCCCTATAATCGATGCTAAAATGTCGTATCCTAAGAAGACCTATAATTAACCATTTATGTTAATAGAATTACACCAAAAGATCCACAAGGACAATTTGGATTCTTGTTTCGGCGTTCATATAGTTCAGGTGGCAAAAATGTGGGATGGCCGATCGTCTGGACAGCGGTGCGATGATGGTTACAATCCTAGTGGCACTCGGTGATTGCCCATCATTAGAGTCTATCCATAAATAATAGCACACGAATTTCACCTATTCCACAAACATGGTAGCAATCGGTGATCACACGAATTGTTCTTATCCACATTATCTTGTCACTATATATTCATTTGTTTATATCTCTTCGCAGGTATCAGCACCAATCTTTTCTTTGTAACGCTGATCTTCATATTGAGCTGGTATCACCTACAAGATGGACTGCCTGATTTTGTTAAGGTATGATTCAATATCCATTTTTACTTCACCAGTAGATTTCTTTAATATCTCCTAAGAATGCTTTAATATCTCCTAGTAACCTACCTCTCTATGGTGCATTGGTTAGGACGTTCGGTCTGCAATGCGCAGGTCAAGCTGTCGCAAGGGCCGGTCATAGGATGGATGACCAAAAATGTATGATAGCGTGTTTCTCCGTACTACGGAATGCACGTTAAACCGTTGGTCCCGGTTGCATCTGCAATAGTTAACACTCACCAATCCAAACTGGGCCCCCGCATTGGGTTTTGTTTTTTTATAGTTTCCCATATTTGAAGCCAGAACGAAATATGTTAGAAATGGTTACTTGTATGTGAACAATAGCTATGTAGTAATTTTTGCTTTAAAATAAATTGTAAGTACTATTTTTGCAAAATTTTATATTTTGCGATTTATAATCTGTCGATTACAAGAACCGAAACGTAAGCGGCCAAGATGTACATCGTGTGACGTCGCATTTCGAAAAACTAAACGTCAACGCCTTTGTTGCGAGTGCAGCCGGTAGTCATGTTTATTGAAATGTGACGTCACAGCTCAAATATCACGTGACTAATTGTTTTCAGAAATTTAAATTGTTTTTCCTTTATTACAAAAATAAATCTCATAGTGCTTTTATATGATCATGGGAAAATATTTTCCCCAAAACGGACCGCGCAGGCCCGGATCTGGGGGGGGGGAGGGGGGCAAGTGGCTAGGGTGGCGCCATAATCATCATTATTTATTACCCATTTACAGTTAAAAAAGAACGAGCTTTACAAATCTCCGGCTTTAAAATCCCAAAATAAAAGAAAAATATTATACATTGCAAAAATATGATAATATAAAATACGGCTTCACAAAGCGAATGGGGGAGAGCAGGCTTAAAGTGAGGGCGCCATACGAAGTCGTAGATCCGAGCCTGAGACCGCATCAGACCCTATAGACGGTGCTATTGAGTTCCTCAAAGTTTAAACAAACAGTTTTTATAATCATTATTTTCAGAACAAATTTGGCGCTTCAGTGAAACCCGAAGAAGGTGACAACAAACGTTTAGTAGGAAAAGTGAAACTGGAGAGAGAAGGTAAGAGTTCAATCACTAGCTTACTACTAATGTGGCTCACTGATGTACAGTCGACAGCACATAAGTTTATTATGTTAACATTGTAATGTCAAAGCGTTTTTTAAATTGTCTTTAATATTTTAATATAAAATTAACTCCTAATCTAATAATGAAATAGTTGTTGCTGAAAATAATTAATTTATATTGTTCCTACTGATTTTGTAATGGCATGATTTTTGTAAATTAGATTAAATTTATAATAAAGATCACTGTTAGAGTTGGTGAGTTTCTTGCTTGTTCTTCTTATCAGCCAAAAGAAGTCCTGAACGAGTGGCAGTAAAAAATATAATAATTGGAACGAATTTTCATCTTTTTCGAAAGTTTAAATATTACTTTCGGCTGTTTGGGTGGATTGTCAGAACATTGATGAAAATACACTCTGTAGTAGCGAAATACACTTGACAGTCCTGTTAGGTCCTGTATCTCAGTGGTTAGAACAGTTTGGATTGCAAAAGGTCATAGGTTCGAGTCCCATCTCAGAGTGCTAGGGACAAGTGGATTTTTAAAATTTTTTGATTATGAATATTTTTAGTATAGCATTGTGAATGCTAAATTGATCGAATATAATACTTTGAATAAGTTTATTTGAATAACCCGGTTCCTGAATTGAGACTTTGAAGTTAAGAACACGTATCAAATCGTCATATAAACAGTTTTTATGCCAGTTTTCACTAAACTTAGGAGTCGCCTAAGTATGTAGGAATCGCCTAAGGTAAAAGTGCAATTCACCATTGATTAGGGACCATCTAAGGAAATTAAGCAATGTCTAAAGTTGTGATATTCGTTATGCGACGCCTTGCGTTAGGCGTTCGAGTATATGTCAGTTCATAAATGTCAAGGGAAAAAAGAAAAAAGTATTTATTTGAAATTAAACTAATCTGCTTAGGAGATTCGTAATTCGTAAAGGCGTTTCCTAGTTAAGCTATGCCTTGTTCTAGATTAGTGAAAATGTATGTCCGTTTCTGATTTTAGTCTTTTTAACTAACCTTTTAACTAGGACATTTTGATTTGTGAAACGCAAAAAACTTCAGTTATTAATAAGAATCATTTGAAATTTTGTACCCTTCTCAATTCAGAAACCGGCTGTTTGACTGTCTAATAATTTTTCTTCAGTTTTGAGTTTAAGCTAAACTTTTGGATCAATAATTTTATTTATTACTAGTGGCCGCCAGCGACTTCGGTCGCGTTTTCCATTATTTCTTCGCTCTTAATAGTTGCAGCGTGATGTTATATAGGTCTATTCAACACAAGAAGAATTTTTCGATTTGAACCAGTAGTTCCTGAGATTAGCGCGTTCAAACAAACAAACTCTTTAGCTTTATAATATTAGTATAGATATATAAACTATGTAAAGAAGGTAAATGTAGTAATATTAGTATTATTTAAGAAAACTTTTATTTATTTGCAGATTCCTCCATGTTTTTTGATGACGAGAGTCTTATGGAAGAGATCCAGAAGCTAGAAGAACCAAAATAAGCGTAAAAAGCAAAAATAAAGATTTTTTTAAAATATGTAATTATGAATTAAACGTAGTCTAGCAATATGTCGTGATATTATAATGACTGTTAGAATTTAAAATATGGATCTATGCTTTTTTGGTGCCATATCTAAGAGCATGTATGAAAATCGTATTTATTGGTGGCTTGTCGTTTGTACAAGGTTATATAAATATCTATTTATTTTAATATATTGTTACAATTGTACGCTTGTTAATATAAAAATTCATATCATTTTTTATATTGCGAATCCAAATAAATATATTTTGTATTTTCCTGAATCACTTTTGTGCCTTTGAAATGTTTAATTATAATTATGTAATACACCCAGTGATGTGGCTTTAATATTTATTCATGGATTTGGATAAAAAGTAATACTTACAAAAAAGATTCAACTAATATGACCTTTGATATTCTGTTCTAGTATGAAGTTCGGGAAATATCGAATTTTCTTAGTTTTGTTATAATCTTCACTATCTGCATTAGAAGCAGTGTCAAGTCATACTTTAGTTGCATCATAAATTATGAAACATTGCTTATTTGGAGTCATATTTGTGTTGCTGTAGGGCAGGTGACTATTTCTTTTTCCCTTTGGTTTCGAATAAATGAAGAGAAGTTTTAACTGTTCTAACCGTACATTTCCGAAATTTTATTTGCATTAAAATTATGTCGCCGTAAAAATTTTGAAGATATGGGATCAGATGGAAATATGTCGGATCGGATGGAAATAGCAATTTTTTTTTTTCTTCGCCTTTCGGCGGATTCGGGCCGAGCGGTTGCTCTTTCCCGGGCTGTCCTCTCCGTGGCGACGGCCCCTCGGTGATTGGGGTGCCTATTACAGGCACGTGGATGGAGGCTTGCCCTCGGCGCGGTGTACTCATTGTAATGAGGAGAGGTGGGCAATCAGTCCCATCAGGGCGTTGATGGTGGCCCGGACGGGGTCGATTCCCGCTTCGAGCTCAACTATCACCGCGGACAGGAGCTTTTTGATGGTGGTAATATGATGTTGATAAGGGGAATCATGAGGGGGCAGTTTGCGACCGTAGGGACAGGGGACAAAGGGGACCGGGAAGAAGTTTGGGTCGTCCTTTGGCTGTCTTGGTCTGGATGGGTGGCTTGGTGTCGTCTGGGGGTGATGGAGCGGTGGTGGTGGTGGTGGCTCTCGGGGCCGGTCTCTTCGACCGGGTTTGGTCCTGGGTTGCGGGGTGGGCGAAGAGGCTGCTTCTGGGACTGGTTTGGTAGTCGCAGTGCGCCTCTTTCTTCTACCTCTTCTCTTACGTGTCGAAGCCGGTTGTCCTCTTGTCGAAGGAGGGTTAGCCGGGGGGGCTAGAGTCTGGCAAGCGAAACGTGTCACAAGAAAAGGGCGGCAATTTCAAAAATTCTTAAGCAGTAAACACTGAATGTAGTACTGCAAAATAATTTTGATACTTTTATTAATTATATTTAATCTTAACATTTAGATATCAATTAAAATTATTTGTTTTGGAACATTTGACTAAAGCGTGACTGTTCTTAATTGTACAGTTAACAGCATATCAGTAGGCCTATTCACTAACTCAACTGACAACCAAGAATCGTCATCACCGTAAAAAATAGACACTTTGATTGTGTCAAAATCACTATTTCGTATTCTCTATCAATGATGAGCAATTTCGAAATGTCAATATCGGCATTCTCCACTGGACTCCATTTTGACACTTGATTTCGTATCGATAAACTGTATTAAAGTAACATTGTTGCAAAGCATATTTGAAGTCGTCGCATAGTACCTCTTAAGCCATTTGTTGTTAAATTAAAGCGAAAAAAAATACGTATCCAATATTTTTCTATTATCTGACTGACGGACTAAATCGAATCTTTTTTTTAACCCATTCGTTATACCTATTGGCTAACAGCACTTATAATATTAAAAATTCATATTTGTCATTAATTAAAAGGGTGTTTTTTGCAACGACTTCTTTGTTTTTTTGTAATGAATATGGGCGACTCTGGCCACATTTTTTTAATAAATGTGATGTTAGCCAATTTTGATTTCTGGCCCTTATATTTATAATGTGTTCATAACACATACATGTCTCCTAAGGGATTTTCATCACAACCTTTTGCTCTGATCCAGAACCACTATCTATCAAATTAAATTAGTCAATATAAACACCAGATTACAATAAAAAAAACATTTATTTTTGTTACAATTAAGTGCCATGGATAAATTACATAATACAGGTGTCACAAAATCATCATGTTAATCACAATAGAAAATTTAAGATAAGATTTTGACTATGAATCAGACTAAAAATACTTTAGTCTGATTCATAGTCAAAATCTGTTTCTAAATATTCTACACCTGATAACAATGACAAGGAATCATCAGAGTCACTCTCTTCACTACTGTCTGCACCAACAGATATAATAAATTTTTCAAGTTCGTTTTCAACAATGCCATCTTTTAATTTGTAATCATTTTCGACATTTAAAACATGATCAGTGTATTTCTTCCAGT